CTCCAAACACGACGAGTTGAGTTTATACCAAAAAGTTCTACTTTGGTTTCATCTGACCACATGACATTCTCCCAATCCTCTGCTGTATCATCCATGTGCTCTCTGGCAAACTTCAGACGGGCCTGGACATGCACTGGCTTCAGCAGCGGAACACGTCTGGCACTGCAGGATTTGATTCCCTGCCGTTGTAGTGTGTTACTGATGGTGACCTTTGTTACTTTGGTCCCAGCTCTCTGCAGGTCATTCACCAGGTCCCCCCGTGTGGTTCTGGGATCTTTGCTCACCGTTCTCATGATCATTTTGACCCCACGGGATGAGATCTTGCGTGGAGCCCCAGATCGAGGGAGATTATCAGTGGTCTTGTATGTCTTCCATTTTCTGATGATTGCTCCCACAGTTGATTTTTTCACACCAAGCTGCTTGCCTATTGTAGATTCACTCTTCCCAGTCTGGTGCAGGTCTACAATACTTTTCCTGGTGTCCTTCGAAAGCTCTTTGGTCTTGGCCATGGCAGAGTTTGGAGTCTGACTGTTTGAGGCTGTGGACAGGTGTCTTTTATACAGATGATGAGTTCAAACAGGTGCCATTCATACAGGTAACAAGTGGGGGACAGAAAAGCTTCTTACAGAAGACGTTACAGGTCTGTGAGAGCCAGAGATTTTCCTTGTTTGAGGTGACCAAATACTTATTTTCCACCCTGATTTACGAATAAATTCTTTACAAATCCTACCATGTGGATTCATGGATTTTTTTTTTCACATTCTGTCTTTCACAGTTGAAGTGTACCTCTGGTGCAAATTACTGACCTCTGTCATCATTTTAAGTGGGGGAACTTGCACAATCAGTGGCTGACTAAATACTTTTTTGCCCCACTGTATATAGATAACAACTGGAAGGAGCGTGTTTGGAGATGTGGTCCCGCTCCAGAAATTCAGATACTTTATCTCCAGTTCAACATGGCTGTTGAGTGACTGGCAGAGTCATCAGCTGCACACCTGCAGAAACATTAGGACCCGCACGGCACAGAAAATAAATCTTACTGGACAGAAATGATCATGTGACTTCTTTGTAAGTGACTCATTTCCCCACTGACACTCTACATCTGAACTTCAGGTTTCCCCCACCAGACACACTGACCTGTGGAAAACAGCACTCAGGAGGTAGTGGGGTTTTGTGGTGTTTGGAAGGTTGGTGGTTAGAATCCAATCTGCATGTTGAAAGTGGTCAAAGTGCCCCAGGTGCACCCATCGAATTTACACGTCTGCATGAAAACTGAATGAGGGTAAATGTGCGAATACAGACTGCAGGGTTTAACATGCTGTGAGTGTTCACTGTGGAGAAGCGCAACATGAAACCCACTGATGTCTGAACACGGTTGGCGTGGAACGAATAATTAGCAGCTAACTAACCCTATGAACTACATAACTGTACTCAGTATTCTTACAGTGTCACAACAAATGTAACCTTTATAAGACAGAACTGAAGAGAAGGGGCTCTGAAACAGAGCCTGATGATCAAGAGTAAATTTAAATAACGTTCTAAGCTGGAAACGATCTTTTACTTCAACAACACACAAACAGAACCGTGACAAAAGCAAGACTCATGGAAACAATCCGGTCATTAAGTCTGATGTCATCAGCCGTGCCTGAGCCCAAACTCCGCTGCAGGTCAAATGAACACTGCAGCATCACTGAGAGTTAAAAGCTGTCTAAATTTTTCATCTTTAATAAAACGATCAGCGTTGCTGCTTTACCAGGTGTAACAATTAAGTTTAACATCCAGGCTTCCATGAAAATAAAAATTATTAAATTTAACAGAGTTAGAAGTTAGCAGGAAGTTAGCTCGCTAGCTTCCATCTAAACATGATATAGCATGTTCTGACTGAGAGATTTATGAAACAATTCAAACGTACAGCTCTGCTATCACTTCCAACATAAATGAAGACAGAAAACTAAACGGCAGTGATGTTTGTAGGGTTACTGAAGTTGGGCTAGCTGGTATATAATGATGTGCTACGTGATCGCTAGCGACACAGCTATGTTAGCATAACATTAGCACAGTGAAGCTGGAGGATGAACGCTAACTTTTTTCCACTCGATAAAAGTTAACGTGAGGGTTCAGAATAGTTAGGGACAAATGCAATAGCATGGCAGGATGCTGTAAACGGACCAAACTTCAGTCAGGAGAACAACCGAGATAATCCATCCACAATACGAGGTTAGTCATTAATATACTGCTGCATGGGCTGTAGTTACATCGGAAGTTTTTAAAAACTGAGCTTTAAAATGAACAGTGGTAATAAAAACTGAGAAAAGCTGACAGTGATCACTGACTGTTTTTAGGGGCTTGTTGAGATTAAATAGAACAAGATACAAAACATTAAAACATGTTAAAAACACAAAAGCCTTATTAAGCGTAGAGTAGTTTGGGCCCGGAAGCAGGATTCATCTCGTCATCACTTAAAGACAAGATAGTCTTCTCCAACATGTAGTTTGAGGCTCTGCTGCCCTCTGCTGGTTTTTTCTGGACATTAAATTCAATCAGTTCAGCTTTAGTAATACAGCACCAAGCGATAATCAATCGATAGGGGCCTCAAGGTGCTTCATGGTGCCCTGACAGGTGTTACAGGCCTGGACAGGGGCAGACATTGTTGGCGACACATTGACAAACTGGTCTATAAAGCAGCGGCCCCCAACTCCCCGGCCACGGACTGGTACTGGTCTGTGAGTTGTTTGGTACCGGGCCTCAAGAGTTGAGGCTCGGGTGTGAAATGTATGGTTTTCGGGGTTTTATCGTTAACTCGGCTTCCCTGGGTCTTTTCCCGTGTGTTATGAATAAATTTTCTAAACAATTTAGTGAACTTTATATTTCTTTTGTAGTTGTGTGTCTTTACTTGAAAGAAATATTTACGCGTTACCATAGCAACCAGAGAGCATTAAGGGGCAGAGAGGAGGATGTTACTCTCAATGTTTTTTCAGGAGCACGCTGCTAATAAAGTAAAACATTTACACAGTGAATTCACATTTATTATTATATTTACAAAATACCACAGTTTTTGTTTTGGTCGTATCATTTTATTTTGTTGTATTTATCTCCCACACCTTAAAGGCCGGTCCATGAAAATATTGTCTGAATATTAAACCAGTCTGTGGCGCAAAAAAAGGGTTGGGGACCGCTGCTCTTAAACACAAGCCAGAAAACAAAGTGAGGCAGAAATGATGTCAGCGGGATCACAGACATTTACCTCAAAGAGATCAAAGTCAGCAAATACAGGTATACATTTCCCAGCATGCTGTCTTTTTTTGACTTATTAAATCAAAAAATCTATCTAAATTGTGGTAGACCATTGTTTCATCTGCCTCCACAATAGCATCTCTCACCTTTTCAACAAAATCCAATGTGCTCTGGATGTTCAGGTGTTCAGAGCTGCCTACCAACGGGCTGAGGATCGAAGCCAGAAGGAAGAACTCCCTTTAAACACAAAGTGGCCCATACCTGCTTCATACCCTGGAGGACGGGGCTGTGGCTCCCCACACTCCCTAGCAGATCGTTACATGGAGAAACCTTTGTAATACAAGCATGCTGATCCACACAGGTGTGCACACAGGTGTACACACGGGTATTCACAGACGCGGACTACAGCTTTCTTGGCTGCTGCCTCAAAGCACATTGTGCGCTGTCTATCTTGCGTGCTGCACAATATCGTTTATTATTTAGTATCTACTGATATCTACTGCTAGCTAGTTTATTGTGATGGTGCTGTTTTTTTTATTATGTTGCTCTTTGTTGTTTGCTTTCTCTTCTGTTTTTTTTCTCCATACAGGTGACCCAGGTGTTTTGTTTGTTTGTTTGTTTTTTTCCTTTCTTCCCCCCCTTCTTACCGTCTCTTCTCCCCTCTGTTTTTCTTTCTCTCCCTCTCTTTCTTTCATTCTTTCTCCCTGTCCTATCCCCCAGTCATGTCTGTCTCGTTTGTAGCAACTGAAAATAAAATAAATTCATAATTATAATAAAGGTCAATCAAATGGACCAATATGGCAAGGCCATGATGATCCACTTGGTAAAATAAATCCGCTTGGCATCTTTCTTGGCCTTAAGACAACAATTCTGATGGCTAAAGATCCAAACGGGACACAAAAACCCCCCCCAAAAAACAAAAACCACAAAGTGGCCCCACACAGGTTAGGGTTTGAGTGCTACTCAGATGTAATTATACACACAAACACACACACAGGGGATTGAATAAAATAAAATAAAATATTCATTAAAGGTGTTTTTTAGCTTTGATTATTCTATTAACTTTGTGGTGAACATTGTGTGTGTGTGTGTGTGTGTGTGTGTGTGTGTGTGTGTGTGTGTGCGTGTGTGTGCGTGTGTGTGTGTGTGGGGGGGGGGGTCAAGATCTCTGTCTAAATAAATAATTAATGTGGGTAAATACCCAGATGACGAAACATGCAACTATTTTCCTGGTAATAACTGAAATGAGTAAAGAAAATCAACAGCCTATTTATGCAAGATCATTCATAATTTTATTGTGGGGGTTATATTGGCTGGGTCGGATTATTGGGGGGGTCATAACCCACCTGGAAATTACGCCCCTGGATCACTCTGCTGCTACACAACCAATCACTCCTCATTGATTATTGATCAGAGATCATGACCCATTAGTCCAGACCTGGTTGTTAGGGTTAGCTGTCACACCTGTCACAGCTGAGGGTCAGGAGTTTAGCCCATATGCGCTGTCAGGCCTTAACGTTTGTTCACCTAGAAAAAGAACGTTTTGTTGCTTAATGACGTCAGGATAGGCTTTAGATCACTTCCTGTTTACTGTAGATTTGAGTTAAAACCTGAAATAGCTCGTGAGTAAGCTGCTCCACCTGCAGATTAACCCGTGACAGTCTGAAAGCTTCGCGGACACACACACACACACACACACACACACACACACACACCGTCCAATCAGAGGAGCAAAGAGTCCTCGGCCCCGCCCCACTACACTTACACACCCCTCCCCCTCCCGTGTCTCCGGTAATCCTCCGCTCTCTCTCGGTGCGGTCGTCATGGCGGAAATTAAAACGGGAATCTTCGCTAAGAACGTGCAGAAGCGCCTGAACCGAGCCCAGGAGAAGGTGAGAGGGGGAGGAGAGGAGGAGCAGGTGATGGAGGTGATGCGGAGGGCGGATGGAGAAGCGGTGCTGGAGGCTGCAGGAGGCCCGGTCACCGCCGCTCTCTAATCCGATCGCTCACACATGAGGATCGATGTATTACTGATCATCCGCTATTGAGCCGCTCGGAGGTCACGTGATTAGCTACGGACTGAGGAGAAAAATCATCAGAAACGGAGAAATCATCAAAAACAAATAGAGCACGTTCTGATTGGCTGAAGCAGATCGTGATGTCACGTGTGCGGTAAAACGCGTCACGCACGTTTTCCTCTTGAAAATTAAAGACGTTAGTGACGTATTTCCCAGGTCCAAGGTCGACAATGTTGTCCACGACGTGATGACGTCATTGTGCTACCTTAGTTTTATTTATCAGGCGCTTTGATGTGATTTCTCTTTCAGGTTCTGCAGAAGTTGGGAAAAGCAGACGAGACCAAAGATGAGCAGTTTGAACAGGTGGTCATCAACTTCCGGAGGCAGGAGGTAAGACGATACCTGGGATAACTAAGTGAAGTGCTTTACAAATACAGGCCATTTACCAGGTCAACTTGGCTTAGTTTACTTACAGATTTTATACAGAGCTGGAAGGTCGAAGACTTCAATGCTCTGCTCTGGATGTACAGCTCTCACTGACACTTGAAGACAAAGGCCGGATAATTACTGACAAATTGGTTAATAAGCTGAACTTGACTGTCTCCATATTTGACCTCATTATAAACCACTGCTGGTGGGAGCAGGTGTCACAGTCAGACAGTGTATATGTAAAAACACCAATGTTTGATCACTGTTTAATCAGCATTCACATTAATTTCAAAAATTCAAAGACTTTCAATTTTATACAGATGTAAATGTGTAAAATAAGAGTTGCTTTCAAAATAAAAGCAACAAAATTACATTGTGATTTTCTGGTAAACGGTAAGCCATTCTCTGATGGGGAGAAACTGCATGATATATGCTTTAACAAATTTCCCTTTGACCTGAAAGGGGCCAGGCAGCCACGTGACCAGGTGTTTTTAATGCCCAGGCGTGCTGTAGATGAGATCTCAGCCATTCTAACAGATCTGCAGTGGCCTTATTTTCCAGAGATCTGATTCGTTAGTTGGCAGTTAACAGAATATGTGAGGCGAGTACAGCACCACTTACCATGGCAATGTAACCTGGTAAGACGTAAACACTCTGTGTAACCTTGAAAACACAGAGTTAAACTTTAAGTTACCTGGATTCCAAATCCTGTGTCGTAGAGAGCTCAGTTCATGCCTTTAGTGTGAAAAACCTCAGTTTATGTTTGATTTGATTGATATTGTGCATAATCACAACAACGGTTGCCTCAAGGCACTTTATATTGTAAGATAAAGACCCTATAATATAAAGAGAAAACTCAGACAAGAAACTGGTGACAGTGGGAACGAAAAACTCCCTTTGAACAGGAGGAAACCTCTGCAAAATGTGGAAACCAAATTCCTCCAGTGTAAAATAACTGATATCACATGTTTGTGTGTGCTTTGCCAGACTGAAGGTTCTCGGCTGCAGAGGGAGATGAAGGCCTACATGTCTGCCATTAAAGGTCTGTATGGTTCATTATCTACGTGATACAAACCTCAAATGAAAGAAACGTCTTCAGTGACACTTTGCATGATTCACAGTTTATAATGATCTTTCATTATCTAATGCTGCAACCTACTTGGAAAGTCAGAGCAACCACAGAAGTAAACAGTCCAAGATGGCGACAGTCAACTTTGAATCTGTACTGCCACTGTGGTGTATTTGTGACTCACTAAATAAGACATAGAGAGTACTGACCAGGCTCTATCCATGAATGTGCTGCAGGGGAGTTTTTAAGTACAAAAAATATTATTATGCTGTATTGTCAGTAATAACTGAAGGACTCTATCTTGCTAAGAACCAAAACAAATCCTGTTTTGTTTTCTCACATTGCAAACTTTCTTACTGAAACATATGAACTCAGGAGTGATGCCACTGCTGAATTACGAGGTACCTGGAATGTGGCATCAGTTCATCCTCTGTCTTAAAAAAGCTTTTTTAGTTTCTTCCCCTTCAAGACTACTTTGTTATGATTGGCTGCCCCTCACTAGGATTCTATTCAATATTCAATTCAACTCATCCATCCATCCATCCATCCATCCATCTTCATCCGCTTTATCCGAGACCGGGTCGCGGGGGCAGCAGCCTAAGCAAAGAGGCCCAGACCTCTCTCTCCCCAGCCACCTCCTCCAGCTTATCCAGGGGAACACCAAGGCGTTCCCAGGCCAGCCGAGAGATATAATCTCTCCAGCGTGTCCTGGGTCTGCCCCGGGGCCTCCTCCCGGTGGGACATGCCTGGAACACCTCACCCAGGAGGCGCCCAGTTCAGTTTTATTTATACAGCACCAAATCACAACAACAGTCGCTTTAGGGTGCTTTATAACTAGGGCTGGGTATCGTCACTGATTTCTAGAATTGATTTGATTCCGATTCACAAGGTCCTGAATCGATTCGATCCACGATTCGATTCAATTCGATTTGAATCTGGGAAATTTTGCCTCAGACAGCCAGAAATATTATAATTCAGATCAGTACATTTACATATTTTTGTATCTATAAAAAGGAAGCTGACACTTGCGAGACTTTATCACAGGTGTGAGCATCACAGCAGAGGCCTTTGTGTCAAAGCAGCTGAAGATAAAACACAGAAAACATGGAGGTGATTTTCCTGGCCTGAGATTTTATAAAAATATTCTGCAGTAGATCAAAAACGAAAGAAAATCATTAATCAACTTATGAACATCACCTCTGAAGTTACAGCGGTTTTATTAGAGACACAGCTGAGCGTTTTGCATTTTGCATAATTTAAAAAAGTTTAAATTTGTTCAGAAGCCTGTTGAACGGCAGAAATTAGGTTTTCTTTTTGGAAGTAAGTAAAAGGAAAAAAAAAACAGCGGCCGACAGCGCTGTAAACAACGGTAGACGGTGCGTAACAAGCAAGCGAATAATGCAGAAAACAGATTTCAGGGATAGACGGGAAACTGTTCTTGAAGTATACAGAGAGAGAGAGAGAGAGAGCTGTGCATGAAGTGTGATTTTATTGTGGTGGAAGCAAAACAGCAAAAGTCAGAGGGAGTCCATGACGATGTTTATGTGAAGCGTAGTTTGGATCTTCTTTTGCTGCTGGTTCAGTCAATATTGTCTGGAGAGAGATCAAACTAACAGCTTTAGAATCAGCGCAAAAAGGGCGTAAACACAAAGCGCGGACCCGCCAACACATCAGAATCAGCGAGCTGTCGGCTTTCAGCCCCGACCGTGTCCGTGCCGTCAGGTAAGAAAGGCGACATCTCACTGATTCTGATCCGCAGGTCCGCGCTTTGTGTTTACGTCTTTGTGCAGAATCCGTGTTCCTGCTCTCATTTACTGTTTTAAATGTTTGGTGGTTGTTGAAATTTTGTGACGTTCTACCTGAGATTCTGGAATTTTGGGCAAAATACATTTATATAAAAAAATCGATTCAGGATTTTAATGAATCGATATTACATTATCCAAGCCAGCATCCATTTTAATCGATGAATTGATTATTAAAACCCACCCCTATTTATAACGCCTATGAGCAAGCACTTTGGTGACAGTGGGAAGGAAAAACTCCCTTTTAACAGGAAGAAACCTCCAGCAGAACCAGGCTCAGGGAGGGGCGGGGCCATCTGCTGTGACAGGTTGGGGTGAGAGAAGGAAGACAGGATAAAGACATGCTGTGGAAGAGAGACAGAGATTAATAACAGATATGATTCAATGCAGAGAGGTCTGTTAATACATAGTGAGTGAGAAAGGTGACTGGAAAGGAAAAACTCAATGCATCATGGGAATCCCCCGGCAGCCTACGTCTATTGCAGCATAACTAAGGGAGGATTCAGGGTCACCTGGTCCAGCCCTAACTATATGCTTTAGCAAAAAGGAAAGTTTGAAGCCTAATCTTGAAAGTAGAGATAGTGTCTGTCTCCTGAATCCAAACTGGAAGCTGGTTCCACAGAAGAGGGGCCTGAAAACTGAAGGCTCTGCCTCCCATTCTACTTTTAAATACTCTAGGAACAACAAGTAGGCCTGCAGAGCGAGAGCGAAGTGCTCTAATAGGGTGATATGGTACTACAAGGTCATTAAGATAAGATGGGGCCTGATTATTTGAGACCTTGTATGTGAGGAGCAGGATTTTGAATTCAATTCAGGATTTAACAGGAAGCCAAAACAGGAGAAATCTGCTCTCTCTTTCTAGTCCCTGTCAGGACTCTTGCTGCAGCATTTTGGATTAACTGAAGGCTTTTCAGGGAGTTTTTAGGACTTTCTGATAATAATGAATTACAGTCGTCCAGCCTGGAAGTAATAATTGGTGACTGTTATGATTTGGTGCTGTATAATTAAAATGGAACTGAATTAAATTGAACTACAACTCCTGAGTAAACTAACATAGCCTCACAGAAAAGGTTTCAGTTAGATGGCGCAGGTGGGCAGAGCTCTGACCTCACTATTTAAAATTTCCGGACAGGACGATAGAGAAAAGCTTATCTTCTTTACGCAGTGAGTAGCAAAGTTAAATGTTGCCATTGTGACCACCAGCTGAAATTGTACTGTCATTGGCAGGGATGCAGCAAGCATCCATCAACCTGACTCAGTCTCTGCACGAAGTCTATGAACCTGACTGGCATGGAAAGGATGACGTCCTGACCATCGGGAAGGTCAGAGTCATAAAAACATCCCAGAGTACAGAAGAACACCAAAATCCACCTGAAATATGTACCATAAACCTAGGTTTCTATTTTCTGCAGGACTGTGATGCATTGTGGGAAGACTTCCACAACAAGCTGGTGGACTCGACACTGCTAAATCTGGATGCATACCTGCAGCAGTTTCCAGATCTCAAGGCAATCAACAGTTTGGTTAGGGAATGATTTTCTGAAATGGATGCATGTCATGAAAGCTCAACTTCTTTTCGTTTCAGACCCGTGTCGCCAAAAGAAGCCGCAAACTCATTGACTATGACAGTGCCCGACACCACATGGAAACCATGCAGACGTCTGGGATGAAGAATGACCGCAAGATGATCAAAGTGAGTCATTTCATGTGTAGACGGACATTCACAAGATAAAGGATCAGCTGTTTCCTGTTACCTGTGCAGCTGTTGTATCTGTGCAGGTGTTTTGTAGTTGATTTAATCATGAACTTTGTCTGTAGGCAGAGGAGGAGCTCAAAAAGGCACAGAAGGTGTTTGATGAGTTGAATACTGGTCTACAGGAAGAACTGCCAACTCTTTGGGATCGGTGAGTTTTGACATAGAATCAGAATCAGAATCAGAATACTTTATTGATCCCTGGGGGAAATTATTTTTTGTTACAGTGCTCCATTTTAAACCAACATTAAGACAAGACAGACAATACGCTAACTAAGAATAGTACAATATATACATATATATACATACATACATACATAAGTCACTTATAAATAAATATTTGGAAAAGAAACATGTGTAGTTGTAGCAGCAAACAGTGTGTTAAGTGGATGCGTTGTACAGGGAGATGGCCACAGGCAGGAATGATTTCCTGTGTCGTTCAGTGGTGCTTTTCGGTAATCTCAGTCTCTCACTGAACGAGCTCCTGTGACTGACCAACATGTCATGGAGTGGGTGGGAGGTGTTATCCAACATTGTCTTTATCTTGGACAGCATCCGCCTCTCCGACACCACCTTGAGGGAGTCCAGCTCCATCCCCACAACATTGCTGGCCTTACGGATCAGTTTATTAAGTCTGTTGGCATCTGCGACCCTCAGCCTGCTCCCCCAGCATGCAACAGCATAGAGGATCGCACTGGCCACCACAGACTCATAGAAAATCCTCAGCATTTTCTGGCAGATGTTGAAGGACCTCAGTCGCCTCAAAAAATAGAGACGACTCTGGCCCTTCCTGTAAAGTGCTGTGGTGTTTTTAGCCCAGTCCAGTTTATTGTCAATGTGTACTCCAAGGTATTTATAGTCCTCCACAATGTCAACACTGACCCCCTGGATTGAAACAGGGGTCAAGTGTTTCCTGGTCTTCCTGAAGTCCACGATCAGTTCCTTGGTCTTTGCCACGTTGAGCTGCAGATGATTCTGCTCACACCACGTGACAAAGGAGTCGACCACAGCCCGGTACTCTGTCTCATCATCCCTGCTGATGCATCCAACCACCGCAGAGTCATCAGAAAACTTCTGAAGATGGCAGGTCTCTGTGCAGTGGCTGAAGTCTGTGGTGTAGAGGGTGAAGAGGAAGGGGGAGAGGACAGTCCCCTGTGGTGCCCCTGTGTTGCTAATCACCTTGTCAGACACACACTGTGGGAGACGTACATATTGTGGTCTTCCTGTCAGGTAATCAACAATCCAGGACACCAGAGAAGCATCCACCAGAGAAGCATCCATAGCATGCTAGGTTTGAGTGGGCAACTAAAATTTCAGGGTGAGTAACTTATAAGAAAAAAGGTTAAAGCTCCTGAACAACGAGCTCCTGGTTTGAGTCTGGATTTTAATACTGACATCTTAGAGAAGTCTGCTTTTGTACATGATCCCTGATAGATTGAACAAGTTATTATTAAAACACTGATTAGTTCCAGGCCATATGTAGCAACCTGCGATGGTTTCTACAGCTACTCTTAGTACCATTGATGTTAAGTTAGACTCTTTTTCTCCAATTGATCTTTCTGAGTTAACTTCAATAATTACTTCCTCCAAACCATCAACATGTCTTTTAGACCCCATTCCTAGAAAAACTGCTCAAAGAAGTCCTGCCATTAATTAATGCTTCGATCTTAAATATGATCAACCTATCTCTAATAATCAGCTATGTACCACAGGCCTTCAAGCTGGCTGTAGCCCTTGTGATGTCCTCCCGATTTGCATACAATGCAGTTCATCAGGGGTCAAAAATGTCCCCACTTCATTTGACTGTTTTTTAAAGTATAAAGTATAAATTGTCAATCAATTCAGTGTTACACCTTAGTTTTACTTAAGACCAACACATTAACACAAAATTTACTCAACATTTTACATTTTAGGGCCACCAGACCTTGTTTACAAAAAATACACCCTGTTTTTTAGCGAAAACAAATTGAGAAAATAAAATATTTAATTGTTTAGATAATTTTGACTATCTGAATAACTAGAGAGTGCTGTATGTTGAACTTTAGTGATAAAGTTTTTTTTCAAGCGTTTATAAATTTTTAATGGCAGCACATAATCACACTTGTGGTCCTCAGGGGTCAAAAATGACCCCACTTCATTTGACTGTTTTTTTTAAAGTAAAAAGTATAAATTGTCAATCAATTCAGTGTTACACCTTAGTTTTACTTAAGACCAACACATTAACACATAATTTACCCAACATTTTACATTTTAGGGCCACCAGACCTTGTTTACAAAAAATACACCCTGTTTTTTAGCGAAAATAAAACAAGAAAATTAAATATTTAATTAAATTAAATATTTAAAAAAAAATTAAAAAAGAAAAAAATTAAAAAAATAATTCTCACTAAAATTCAACATACAGAGTGCTGTATGTTGAACTTTAGTGAGAATTCTTTTTTTGAACCATTTATAAATTTTAAATGGCAGCACATAATCACACCTGTGGTCCTCAGGGCTCAAAAATGACCCAGTTTGCTTTGACTGTTTATAAAGCAACAAGTATAAAATATCATCCATCTCTGTGTTTCAAGGTTTTATTCAACTTTATTCCAACTCATTGCCTGACAGTTTTCTATATTTTGGCATGGTAGGAACACCAGGGCATGAGTCTGAGTGAAGGCAAACTTTCATGAGGACAAAGGCGTGTCCATATTTGACCCAAGTGCAGGAGGAAGCTCAGGTTTATTCCTCTGCACTGGTCCCATCATGGACAGCATTCTTTCTGCAGTTGCAGGCCAAGAGGCATATACAGTAAACAAGCTGTTACAGGTGATTGTTTTCTTTTGGAAACCTGCAATGTTAGGGACAACTCACGTTTCCTGACTGCAGGACAGACGGTTTGCCATCGCACAAGAGCATGTTCCATGTACAGCTGGACCTGCATCACATGCTGCCCATGTTTTTGTCTCAAAGTTCCCTGGTTTACTTGGATGTTCTGTTGGAGGGGACAGAGTCCTTTGAAGGGGACTTGGTGCTCATACAGTCACATCAATACCAGGATCTTACATCACAGCAGGAGAAACACCCACTTGTGTTTCAAGTCAAGTCAACACCAACACACACCATACACCTCAAATGGGAGCACGTTTGTGTCATGAACGATGATCATCTATTGTGTCTTTATCAAGAAATTATGTCCTTTTTGTGCTTCTGTGATTAATCTTGTGTCAGCATGAAAACTTCTCTACCAGACTCAGGATGTCATAAACTGGCCGTAGCGACTCTACTGGATGCACGGCAGTAAGAATCAACACACCCACATATGCCTACAGCTGCATTCGGTCCATTTTTCTTCCTCTCTCGTTGTCCCTCCTTGTTCGTCATCGAGTTGGCTGTAGAGCAGGTCATCTGCTAATTGGATGGTTGTTGGTTCAATCTCTGTGTGCTCTAGTCTGGAGTTCTTACCAAGGTGTCCTTGGGCAAGTTACTGAACCCCAACTTGGTCTCTGATGCATCCATTGGCACGTGAACATTAAAAAGCAGAATACAAGCAGAATACACTGTGTATAATGCTTTCAGTACTCGAGTAGAAAAGCCACTGAAGGAGTATGGGACCTGGCACATGTGCTTGGACTGTGGTAGATCATCTTTCTCTGAGGCACATGAGAGAGTCAGGCATCGTCTGTCACTGGGAAGGTTAGAAGACCAGATCAGTGTTTCCTCACGTTACTGCAAATATTCCTCTGTCTCAGCTGATTCCTCTTTCCTGCTTGATTCTTTGTCTTCATCATAATTGAAATGGATGATGTGTAGTCCTCTGACACATCTTCTATTTCAGTTTCACATTCTGAAAATTCAAGAAACTTCAAGAAGCCCAGTCACTTTCTCTCCAAGCTCAGACTACCATGTCCTGGATGCCTGAGAACCTACTTGAACATAGTTCAGATTCTTCATCACTTTTCTTCACTTCATAGCCTTCTTCCACTTCTGCAGGTGGCTGATGTGCTTTTTCAGAGAAAGGGTAGCATGTGCTCTAAATATTGACAATATTTTCTATATCTTCTAACCCTGGATCTTCCTGAACATTGATTCTCCCTCCTCATTATACTAGAGGACAATATGTGCTTTGTCCTACTGGTCATTGCTTTGCACAACATGGTAAAAAAAATATGCTCATCAAAGTATGCAAATCTCCAGTGCAATGGAGGCTTTTGAGGATACTTTCTGTGTATGTATTATTGTAGAGTCTACCTTACAATACGAAACACTTTGATGCGGCTGTTGTTGTGATTTGGTGCTGTATAAATAAAATTTCATTGAATATAGAGCACCTGCCTCCTCATTGTGCTGCCTGTTGTGGTTGTTATGACCAGTGCTTGACCCCACACATCAGTGATCCAAGATCAAAGATGTTTGAAAGCAGTATGGTGTGAAAATACGGCTCTTTGCAACACTTTGTATTTTGGGGTCATTTTTGTCCTACAAGGACCACCAATGTTATAAAATTCAATAAAAACCACATAAATAAATCAAATTACTTAAAACTTATTCCAATCATTCATAGTATAGTAATGAATAACTTCTGTTATTTTCAGACCATTTGATGAATAAAAAACACATTTTTGATAGCAAAAGATTTCTTTAGAGGACAAAAATGACCCGTGGACATCACAAGGGGTAGTTAAACCTTTACTCAAAAAGCATCTCTAGACCCAGCAGTCTTAGCTAATTATAGGCCAATCTCCAACCTTCCTTTCATATCAAACATCCTTGAAAGAGTAGTTGTCAAACAGCTAACAGATCATCTGCAGAGGAATGGTTTATTTGAAGAGTTTCAGTCAGGTTTCAGAGCTCATCACAGCACAGAAACAGCTTTAGTGAAGATTACAAATGATCTTCTTATGGCCTCTGACAGTGGACTCGTCTCTGTGCTTGTCCTGCTAGACCTCAGTGCAGCATTCGATACTGTCGACCATAATATCCTATTAGAGCGATTAGAACATGCTGTAGGTATTACAGGTAATGTCCACAAGGCTGCAGGTCCTGATGGCATCCTCGGGCGTGTTCTCAGAGCGTGTTCTGGGGAGCTTGCAGGAGTGCTGACAGACATATTCAACCTGTCCTTGGCCCACGCTGTGGTACCGGCCTGCTTCAAATCCACCTCCATTG